TGAGCACAGTGACTAGTTCTCGCAATGCTCATTTCAGTCGCTTGTTCCCGGCATCAAAATTTTATAGGGATGACTCACTATTCATGATCGTAGGTGTGCATTTTAATGAAAATCGACATGAATACGGAGTTCAGTCTTCAGACTCAAGTCTGCTTTAGTCGCACGCTGAACGTAAATAGCCATCCCAATTCGTTGGTCGCTCGTGTCCCCCCATTTTACATTATCAATAAACAAAATCCCGAGGTACGCGAACATCATCTGGCGAGAGAATGAGAAAGCATTAGGCTTTTCATTTTTCACACGCATGTCTGCCTCGTCGTACTCAGCTGCAAAATTTTCCAGAAAGTACTGGAGAAAAGTTTCAGAAGATTCCAAGCCAATTAAACAAGGTCGTCTGCAAAGAGCAACCTCCTCGCGTCAACACCTCTTATGCATCTTATACACTCGCCCTGACTGTGCCTTTCTGTCTCATCCATGTGCAGCACAAACCGAAGAGGAGACAGAACGTAGCCTTGGCGAAGACCAGTTCCAGAGTTGAAATATTTCGATTTAACTCCACTGAAATATGACATAATATCATTGATTATGGACCTATTGTTGAAACAGTAGATTGCTCGTCGGTTCGTGGTGAAGGGCACCAAACAATATTGATGCTAGTGGTTTATCGTCGACGTGTTTCGCTGCAAACGGCGTAGCATCAACAGGACGCAACCCAGACATGACGGGCAGCTCACCGCCTCATACACACGAGAATATATCTTGAAAATTTTAAAATGAGTGGTAGATTAATACCAGATATTAGAAGAAATATGTATAACTTTAAACTTAACTTTAACCACTCACTGCACCACTTTCCCATTCGTAGTATAAGGTTAGAACACCCCCGCTTTCACTTGTTACAATGAAACAGTATTCATTGCACATGCGCTATTTCCTTGCCAAAATATGCGGCGACCGTTTTATTAAAAAATGCATATGTGTTTAACGATCACTGTCGATGACAGACGTTCATTGACTTTCAGAGTGGTCAGCCTGTTTAAAGCAGTGCTCTTTAATCCGGATGACCAATTTCCAGTACGTTTTTCCGACGTATATCTTATTACAGTCTCAGCAATGCTCACTGTACCTGACATTTCCCGCTTGTAAGGGGCATACATCTTAAACAAAAGCATCCCCAAACTCACGCCGGTCTTGTAATATACCTTGAACATTACGCTGTTTATGCATCTTCTGATTGGCTCCAATACCTGATGGCAAAAGTACTACACCTGTTCTACTAGGACTTCATGAAGATGTTCCTCGGGTGCAATATTTCACTGCCAAGTGTGTTCCTTGAATATCCATTCTTTAAGAATACGTGCTTAAGCTGTCCACTATCAGTGACTAAGGCGGAAGCGGTGTTGCTGCATTACTTTTGGATGCGTAAGCATGTTTCTCATACAGTTTCCAAAAGGAACGAGTAGAGCGCGAGACCTCTGACGTACGTACCTGTTGGAGTGAATCAGTTTCTGATAAACGAAAACTTCAAGAAGCAAATCTAGAAATGATATACTATTGTACACTTCGGCCTCAGCAGTAAGCCGTATTCGACCGCTGATGTCCTGTTCATTCACATAATTTACGAAACGTGTCTCCGTTCCTTCTTTGGAATGAGATGAAGATTTCATCCACAGTGTGTTTAAAGTTTTCGACAAATGCTGGCAAACGGCTAGATTAGGATTAATTTTATCACGCATTCGACTATACCTAACTGTCGCCCAGGTGTTCCAGCATTTCTGCTTCATATTTGGTTTTAGACATCACAACTGCCTTAACTCCTTTGTCTGCAGAGAGGACTAACAGGTTACTGTCCATTACCTGTTTTCAATCCTTTTTTTTCTTTTCCTCCTTTTCACTCGCCATAGTGCGACAAGAAATTAGATTAGAACACCATTTACTGATAGGTAACTGTTAAAGGTAATAAAGGTTTTTTAACATCATCCCTTGTCTTGCGCCCAAAACCATTAAATCAGAAACTTAGAAGATTTACGAGCTCGTGGCGTAAAATAAAAGCTAACTTTCGAAATCATTTGTCTATGAATAAACAAAGGACTGTCTTCAAGAGTCAGCGTTTAAGAAAGCATCGCCATTGTTTTTTGTCAATATTGTTTACTGCGTAGAATTAACTGCATTATTTTGTCTTTCTCTATCAGTAATGTCAGTACGAACGAGACGAGTTGCTGACAATGGGTTTGCCAGACTCGTACAATGCATTCTTGCCGTATTTTTCCCCAGCACGTTCGTGAAATTTAGTTCCATTTACTTGGAATATTTGTTGCTTTGCTATCTTCACCTGAGGTCAACAGAACTTAGGCAGAAGAGTAACCCACATTAATGATATCTGAACGCTAGAAATAGTACTTTAGACTGATAACAGACAAAGCATGAAATTTTTCCATGCTTTGGATTGTCCCCCTTTGTGTCTGCGGTCAGTGCGCAGTTCCCAATAGAGAAAGTTTCTAATATATTATTTTTGGACCGCTTTATCAAACCAACAGGCTGACGATCTCTGAGCTCATCTGAGAGTTTTCTCAGACCGAAAGACCCCAACACTTGCACGGCTGTGTCCGGTGATACGATTTAAAATTCTAGTGCTCTTTACTCTGACCCAGCACCTACTATCAAGATGCAGTGACCGGATGGCTCGTAGCAACTGACCATCAGTCCCATATGTTTGCAGTAACGCCCACATCCATGATCTGGTCATGCACTTTTTCTAGTCCATAAAGTACGTGTAAACCGGATGAACGAACACCTAGGATTTCTCAACAACGTGGCATAGGACGAAGATTAGGTGAGATATGCTTCGCTTAATCTGATGCCAAAATGCTCCT